CCTCTGAAGCATTTCCGGAGTTTCTGAGAGTTTTTAAGAGCTTTTTATAGCGTTTCGAGAGAGATTTTCGGCGTTGTAAAAGCGAAGGACTGTTAAAATGCACCCTATATTTCAAGAGTATTAATCAAAAGCTTGCATCAGAGGTTTTTTCATTCTCTGCCTCTCTTTTACTGTCTTTATTTTTATGATTAAATTGTATAATAGACATTAGGGTCATGTAGTCATTATTTTAATTCCGCAAATAAAAGGGTAAAAATGTCTTTTCAAAAGTTTATTTATAAAATAACTGGCCTATCATAGGGAACCCGAAAGGGGCGTCGTAAGAGAACTAACATTTCCCTTACACGTAACTAACTCCCTTACCTAACTCTGGTTTTAGTGACCAAAGTTGGTTTTCGAAAACCAACGCCTTTTTACCCCTTTTTCGATGTTTCCGGTAAAAATATTGGTGGCGACTCCATAAGAACCCCTTCAAATTAGTTCTTGGGTTAGCCCGGTTATCTGACAATCCAAGAACACCTTTTTGAAAACCTCGCCTCTAGGTTTAGCCCGGTTATCGGACAGCTTAAAAGCGTTGTAACATCACCCATAAAAACGCGATATTTGGAAAGTCGGAACTATCGCATCGCTCCAACCGCCTCTTTTTGACGGCGGCGACATACACTTTGCCTTCTTGACCTTCAAGCTCAAATCCAGGAGGTTGTGACACAAAAACTTCTTCTAGAGGTCCATTTAGGAAGACAGATTTTACATCCAGTTGATACATAATCTATCCTTTTGAATTGGTAATAGCAACCATAGTTCTTATTGTTTCGATTCGAGCCACTGGTGCAAATACTTCTTTATAATCAATATTTGGTTTTTGAAGAAATCCACTTACTACCAACCTTGCCTTGTACTTCACTACCCTTCCTGCAGGATATGTTTTAATCTTAAAGACCCACCTTACACCGATTGGTTTCTTGATTTTTTGTAGAGACACTAGATCCCATACTTGATTTTTCTCAATGGATCGAATCTCGTCCTTCATAGCATCAACCCATTTACTATTTGTAATGGCTTCTTCGAAGGTGACTGTTTCAGTTTCTGAAAATAAAACAAAGTGAACAATATCCCCGTCTTCATTAGCATCGAATGTCATTTCGAAACTTAAATTTGCTGGGAATGTGACTATTCCTTTGAGATTTCCTTAAAGGATTAGATGTACCCGCTCTTTCTTATTCATTATTTTGTTCTTCATTAGTTTTAGCCTCCTCTAACTCAACAACAACTTCTTTGTACTGTTTATCTGTGTTTGACGTCGAATCCCACTCCTTCAACTCATCAAACATCACATCTCTACTCACTATTATATGCTTGGTGATGAAATTGAACAATTTATATCCACCAATTTGATGATATCCTACCAGTATCATTTGCTCTCCTCTGTCATCTAGTTGCTTTCTCAATTGCTTAGGTACATGTTTGTAACATATCGATCCAAATACCCTTAGGTGACTCACATCTGGCTTATTGTTGGACCAAAATTCTTCCGAAGTAACTCCTTCTAGTCTCTTTGATGGACATCTATTCAAAATATAAGCAGCAGTTGACACAGCCTCACCCCACAGATACTTGGGTAATTTTTTGCCCTTTAGCATACTACGTATCATGTTCATGATGGTCCGATTCTTCCTTTCTGCATTTCTATTATGTTGTGGTGTGTATGGAGGAGTAACTTGATGCTCAATTCCTTCTCTTTCACAGAGCCTTTCGAATTCTCTGGACATATATTCACCTCCACCATCGGTTCTCAAGACCTTGATCATCTGGCCACTTTTCGTTCCACCATGGCTTTAAATTTCTCAAACACTTCCAACACTTCACTCTTTCTTTTGATCAAGTAAACCCATAATTTCCTAGAAAAATCATCAATGAATGAAATGAAATATCTATTACCTCCAAGAGACTTTGTTTGAATAGGACCACAAACATCTGAGTAGACCACTTGTAGTTTCTCCTTCGTTTTCGTTGAAACATGGTGTTGGAAGGAGTTTCTTGGCTGCTTGAACTCCATGCATTCTCTACAAACTTCTTTGGGTGGGGAAATATGGGGTAAACCTTGCACCATGTTTTTAGACTTCAAGTTTTACAAATCTCTAAAGTTAAGATGTCCAAAACGATAATGTCAAAGTCATTCCTCCTTCTTCATAACAACCGCAAAACATTTGAGATCTATATATCGATCTCAACCTTGAAAGTTCGATTCTTGGTAAGTGGTGATTTCAATATCAAATGGTTTTGTTTATCATACAATATGAGCATTTTATCTTCCAATCTTGAAGTGTACCCTCTCTCAAGTAATTGGCCAAGACTCAGTAGATTACTCTTCATTCCAAGAACAAACAAAACATCTGTAATGGAAGATTGGTCGCCATTCTTCTTCTTAATCACGATCTTTCCGACCCCTTCTTCCATTAGAACACGATCATCAACAAACTTCACCTTGCTCTTGATTGACTCATCAAGGCTTGCAAACCAGTCTTTCCTTCCTGTCATATGTGTTGAGCATCTTATGTCAAGGTATCAACCATTTTCTTCGAGTCATTCTGCTTGGGTGGTGGTTGCCATTAATAAGACTTATTCTGAGTTGTCATCCTCCTCTTCTTGATCCTACTCTTCTTAAGCCATTTGGGCTTCATCTCTTCGTGGATTATGGTGCTTGCTTGGCAATATGACCCATTTTATTACAATTATAACATTTCACATTTTTAATATCAAAATTGTGTCCCTTCCTTTTCTGAAAGTCAACAATCTGTTTGCTATCTTGAGCCTCCTTTGTATCCTTTATGTTCCTTTCTTGCCTCCATTTTCCTTTGTTCTTTCCTTTCTTCTTGAAAGCTTCCTTTGAGTTGGTCTGTACCTGGAGAGCTTGTTCGTTCTTTCATTTTTCTCCCCGTTCGATCAACCTTTGTTCATGTGACTCCAAAGAACCCTGAAACTCTTCAAGGCTCAAATCTTCAAGATTCTTGGATTCTTCTATCGCCACAACTATGTGATCAAACTTCATAGGTAGCGTACGCAACACTTTCTCAATCACCTGCAACTCAACCAACTTCTCTCCAAGACCCTTCATCGTGTTCACCATTGTTTGCACACAAGTAATATACTCAGTCACTGTCTCATTGCTCTCCATTGACAGAAGCTCATATTGTCGTCGCAACGTTTGAAGCTTCACCTTCTTGGTCTTTGTTGCACCACCATGGACCCTTTCAAGAATCTCGCAAGCCTCCTTTGATGTCTTTGCTTTCGAAATCCTCTCAAAGTTTGTTGCATCAACACTTTGATGCAAGATGAGCAACGCCTTGCAATCTTTCTTTTCGATCTCGTTATTTGTGGAGCCTCCGTTCCACCTGCACCAACATATTTGCAACCTTCTTGAACAAGATTTCACACCCCTTGAAACCTCATAACCACTCGTATCTATATTTTTCAGTTGTCATAATTCTTCGTTGTAAGAATCGGAAGATTGGTAAGAATAGAAGCAAATGACGTTGTCATATCGTTCTTGTGCAGTTCGATCCCTTGAACCTATGCTCTTGATATCAATTGTTGAGATACCAATACAAGATAGAAAATAGAATATAATGACTATTGCTTGAAAAATAGTAAATATATATTTTTTTCATATAATTATTTGTTATTTATACAAAAATAAAACAAACTAGAAACTGAATTACACGCGCAGATTTTACAACGATTATAATAATAATAATAATAATGAGGTCCATCATATAACTATTCGATACGTTTTGTTTTCCTAATCATACAAGACCAACAGCATAATGGAATATAGCTACTAAGGTCCATGATTTTTATTTTTTTTCTTTGGATGATTAAATTATTTTATTGTATAGTTCCATTGGTTTGTATGATAAGCGCAAAATAGAAGACCCGTGTCTTGTAATTCAGGATAAAGTTATACGATGCATGCTTTGATTCGAGAATGAGTTCCCGTTTTTATTTTGTGGATGCTAATTTGTAAGCTTAAATAAGTAAATAACTAAAAGGCAAAACAGAACATTCTAAAATAGTGGCGGATATAAACCCCTGCTTTTGCTTTGTACGTTCGATTGTTGGAGAATAAAACTTGAGTCGCAAATGAAGATATGCACTTGCGAGCAAGATAAGAATTATAAATTTGTAAGAGAATAAATTTTACATTAATCAAAGTTTACTAACTTATTAACTCACTCACTCTCGAAAAGTTTTCAATAATGCCCACATGTTATTCCCCTTCTCTATGGAATTTATTCGCCATTGGTGTTAGATTTTGAACATAGAGTTTTAACGAGTGCATGTACTTTTTGGTGTATTCTTCCCAATTTAACAGGCCATCAATGTGTTCGATATGACTCATAATCTAAAATATTAATACGTTTTCGTCACTAGAGTACATTTTTTAGGTCCATCTATTCCTACATTCTGGGACATTTTAACCTGGTTTTAAAGATCAACAACTAAATATTATTTTTGAAAATGTTTAACCAAATTAACTTTATTTTAAAATATAATAACTAAATATATAAATTATGAAATATTACTTTTATTTTCTATCTTCAAATTTAATATTGTTTTATAAAATAACTTATTCATAAACTTATAAATTAATCCGATCTCTCTTCATTTAGATAAGTAATCACAAAATTAAGTTTAATCTAAAGCATAATTATTTTTTCTTTAATCCATTTTGTTCATATTCATTTATCTGGTTTGAAGCTATTTTGACGGTCTATTTGCGTTGCCACTGTGTTAGAATATTTTTTAAAAAGATATTGATTGGAACATGATTTTCAAGGGGCGCGCACAAATCCTCTTTACAGCAGCAGCAGCATGGCATTTGTGTCACACACATCAAGAGCTTTGATTCACATTGAACTATAAATTGGTGAAGCTCATAAAAGGGATGTATTATATTCACCATAGTGGCATAGTGGCATAGTGTAAAGAAAGAAGACACAATGGACTTGTGGAAGCTCTTCACAACTGCATTAATGCCAGTTCTGAAGGTGCTCCTCATTACTGGTGCTGGCACATTTCTTGCTCTCCACCGCTTTAATATACTGAGGGAGACTGCTAGGAAACATTTGAATACAGTATGTGTAATTCTCTCCTTTCTTTTTGTGTGGTATAATCTATCTTTTTCCTTTGATACCTTCTATTCTGCAAAGTAAATCGCCTTATTTCTTTGTTACTGTTTGAAATGTTTTTGATTTTGTTAATTATGTCATATCTTGTCTTCTTGCTAGTGTTATAGCATAGTTGACTTCAATTCGTCTCCAATGACTTTGCACTTATCGTTTTACTCATGCACAGGTTCAAAATATATATGCTGGTGGTATCATTATAACTGAATTTAAGAGTTATTAACCAAATGTTAATATAATGTTAACTTGTTAAAAGCGAAGGGTAAATAGTTAGTTCAAGGTAGCAAGTCTCTGAAATTTTTAGTCTTTAAACTAAAAATATTTTTAATTTAGTCTTTGGGGCTGTAAAATAGCTACAAATTATGTTTTTCTAAAGGTTTCACATAAACTAACTTTAACTATTCAATTACAAAAATTATGTAAGAACAATGATCCAATTAATCGGAACGTTTTTAGTTGACAGAACTAATTAAAAGCTTCCAAAAGAAAAATAGTTGATAAATTCTGACGAGTGAAGCTTACTGACATGTGATGGGGATTTTATATTAAACTGCATATCGAAGAATACTATCTTCCATATCTTAGAAACCTGTTTCTATTATTAGTCTTTTGTGCATTAGACGCCTCTCTCGTATTGATACTTACTGAGGGCACTTTCCTAAAATTTATGGACATTGGTTTTAAGTTAAACCAGAATAACAATTTTTTATCATCATATTTAATATAATTCAATCAAAGCCTTTTTCATTAACATTTGCAGTGTCCTGTAGAATGTATTAGCTTAATTCCTTTTCTTATCTTGATGGAACAAAGTGCAAAGGAGAGAGAATATTATTTGGTAACTCAAAACTAAATGACTTTTTCTTTCTTTTGCAGCTGGTATACTTTGTCTTCACTCCGGCTCTTGTTTGCAGCATTCTGGCTAAAACTATAACATTTAAGAGCCTGGTTATGGTGTATGTTGTTACCTTGCCACTCTGTTGCATTTTCCATCTCTTTCTCTCATTAATTGGGATGTTTTTATGAACTTTGAAGGTGGTTCATGCCATTGAATGTTCTTTTCACGTTTACCATTGGGACAGCACTAGGATGGTTGTTTTTGAAAATAACTAAAGCACCTCCTGATATGCAAGGCCTTGTGTTGGGGTGCTGTGCTGCAGGTAGTTCACGAACAGATTGTGAATAGTTATTTCAATAAATCAGATCAAGCCAATGTTCATTCAATAATTTTTTTAAGATATATGACGGGATGTATCACACGTACAAATTTAATTTTCTCACTCTATTATTGTGTAAAGGCAATCTAGGCAATATGCCTCTCATCATAATTCCAGCAGTGTGTAAGGAAAGTAGTAGTCCTTTTGGAGCTGTGGACGTTTGTCATCAAAAAGGGATGGCATATGCCTCTTTGTCCATGGCAGTAAGACAATCTACCCTACCACATTGGTAATTGACTAGGTTCAGCATACAGAAAACTTAAAAGTTTTGATTTGCCATTCTCTAATTTTGGTTTACCAGATATCAAACATCTACATTTGGACTTTCGTGTACCACATTATCCGCGCATATTCTTGCCGGATTTTTAATGTGAACAAGGTTGATAATTCCACAGTAGGTCCAGTGTCAGCAATAGAAGCAGATCTTGAAAACCATTCAGGTGCACCAGTGGTTACAGCAGAGGATTTCTCACAGACCAATGATCTTGTGACCCAATTTAAAAGTGATACGGTGGTTAGTCTGTGTTCTTATATATTTGGAAATATGGATACATAATGTGCATTTGTACTTCAACTATGATAGTCAAGTTTGAACTCCTTCACCAATTATGTGTAACACAATTTTGCGAATGTCACTCCTTAGTTCACTTTTCTCATATCACTACAAGATTTTGATTTTTGTCTTCTAATCCGCTGAAATACCACGTTCTCTACTTTTAAGAGAAACTCCTCTAATCATACCCTTAAGACAAAAGTGCGACTTGACATGATATTTCTAAGTATCAGGTGAAAGTTCTTACATTTTCCATTTGTTTTACAGGTAACAAAACAAGAGCAGATTATGCAACCATTAAAAAAATTAGTAAAAAAGCTCAATTTGAAGGTTCTATTAGCACCTCCTACGTTCGGATCGGTATGCCAGGGACTCACTTAATTTCTTTCTTGTTCTTTTTCCCCGTTTGTTTATCTATGTCTGATGAATGATAAAAACTAAATTTATATGCTTTCAGTGCTTCATAATTACAGTAACTTTGATTTGCGTAAATTTGAAAAGGCAAAAATAATTCTGTCTTATATTTAAGAAACTAAAATCATATTTAGACAAAAAAAAGAAGCGTATATATTGTACTGCGGTATCAAACTAATGCTGTGCAAACTGGGAAAAAGATTATCAATAATAAGACATGTTAGACATGTCAACCTAATAAACTAGTTAAAATTTGTATTATAAGTGGCAGCCGTTTGTGTCCTGGTTCAAGATTTGAATCCTTATGATGTAATTTGGATATGGATAAACCATACACTGGTAAACCACTGCTAGCTTAGTCAAAAGTAAATATATAGAAGTGGAAGAAGTGGTGGAGGAGAAATTCTTTTCTGAAACGATGATGTTACAGAAACCACCTTATTTATTGGCAACTCTGGTTTTTTATATGTAGATTCTTGGACTAATAATTGGTGTAGTTCCTCCTTTTCAAAAGATGTTTGTTGGCGATAATGCTCCTTTTCGTGTGGTTGAAGACTCTGCATCCATGCTGGGGTAAGTTGTCTTCTGTTGCTAACCGAGCTATAATGTGATCAGGTGCTTGCTTAAAGTTGCTTTATTTGATTGAGAAACTAATGTTAAAATGATGATAATATTGAAGCAAAGATGTATTACATTGTCTTGATCAAAATCCATGCGAGTAAGCAATCAAGAAAATGAATTATTATTATTACTATTATGTAGTAAACACGTTTGATATGATAATCATTTCGCAGGGACGCATGCATTCCAGCAATGACTCTGTTAGTTGGAGCAAATCTTCTGAAGGGTAATAACCAGCATCATCTTTTCATGTTCATTTTCATGTTTGCGTCAAAATAATTCTGAAAATGAACAAGGTTTTACTTATAAATTAACCGGATTAACCTCATTCAGGGTTAAAACGGTCAGAAATGAAGCCTTCACTTCTTATGGGGATCATCGTGGTTAGATACATTGCTCTACCAATTTTTGGTGTGGTCATTGTAAAAGGTGCAATTCGTTCTGGCATTATCCACCAAGATCCATTATACCATTTTGTTTTACTCCTTCAATACGCTCTTCCGCCTGCAATTAGCATAAGTAAGTTCATTAAGATTATTGTGATAATTTACTGCTTCATATACTAATTACTTTATAACATATTGCTTTAGAAGATTAATTAGGCTTGACATAACCAAGATTTTCACTTTTACTTATATTTTTACTTTGTGACCCTCCCAGGTACAATTACTCAATTATTTGGAGCTGGTGAAACAGAATGTTCAATTGTTATGCTAGTAACTAATGTCTGTGCGGCATTTACTCTTACACTATGGTCCACATTTTTCATGTGGCTTGTCCTATAAAGGCATTCACTTTCTTTACCCCCTGATGTCTTACTATCAAGCAACTGCATGTTGAAGATTACAGATTATTTTAAGTCAATTAGTGTTACGGGATGATGTAGAATTAATTCATGGCCACTTCAGTTTATAGTAGCAGCAAATTGCTTCAGTCATCTCTAGCAGATGGCGGATCTTGACCATTGATCTTGGAGAAGTCAAATAATATATTATTAATAAATAATAAATAAATATAAAATGAAGTAAGAAGATGAAAGGCTGAAAGGATAAAATTGTAAATATATACTTAAATATATTAAATGATCATTAAGTTTGAGGGAGACAAAATCATAAATTATATGAGAGTTACAAAAGCGAGGAGAGGCTCGAGAGGATAAAATTGTAAATATATAAGTAAATATATTAAATGTTCATTAAGTTTGGGAAGTAAAATCATAAATTTCATGGGAGTTATAAAACTTGGGAGTACGGCACTTCAGTTCCCAAGAAGATCCGTCATCGATCTCTAGTATCTCATGACTATTCAGATAACAATTGTACATATAAGAACTAAAATTTACTTCTCTTATTATTATTATTATTATTATTATTATTATTATTATTATTATTATTATTATTATTATTATTATTATTATTATTATTATTGTTATTGTTATTTAGGTTTTTCACATTTTACATAACTAGGTGAAACCCCAGTATGAAAACAATTTCCTAGTTGTTGCAAAATAAAATAAAATAAAAAAGAATATTTCTTAACATATATATGATAAAAAAATCTATAGACGAAGGATGTAATAAAATCTCAAAGAAATATAATAATATTATAATATATAAAATATTCGTATAAAATTGTAAAATAAAATTAAATATCTTAATATATTTTTAATATAAAACTAATTCTCTTTCTCTTATATTTATTCTCTGCTAACAAACGAGAATGGAAAATATATATTTAAAGAAAAAAAATAAAAAATTAAAGTTATTTCAATTTAAAAAATAAGAAAACGTGAAAAAAAAATTAATAAAATTTATTAATAATTTAATTAATGTAATTAATTAAAAAATTTTAATAAAATAAATTTAAAAATGATCAAATAACTCATATAATAAAATTTATTATTGTTATTATAGTTTAAAATATCATAATTATTTAAATTATCCGTACTCATTGTCCAAATTACCCCACTGACTCTTCTGTCCGGTTAAAGGGTAGATCACTCAAACAAGGCTAAAAGCCCTAATTCCCAAATCTTCATGGGTGCCACATAAGCGGAATTAGGCCAAGAGGAAGACGATTCTTCCCAAGAAGAAGACGATGAACACCATCCCATTCTCCCTGCTTCTGCACCCTCCAATCCACGCCCCAAATTGTCCTCCTCAGAGTCTGAATCTGACACTGACTCCGAACCCACTTAGGCCAAACTCAAACGCGCGAAGAAGAATCCAGCCGGTGCTCCTTCTTCTTCTGTACCTAATGACGAGGGGCTGTGGAGGACGGGAAGAAGTCCGGTGGCCAGACAAAGACGTTCCAGCGGATCTGGAGCAATGAAGACGTGCTTGGCATTCTGAACGGCATGAGTGAGTTCATCTCAATGATAGGGCATGATCCTTCAGAGCTGAGGAAGAGGTTCAAGAATCTGGAGGAGAGAGAAGCAGGGGCTGAATGTGTCACCTCACAACGAGACTTGGTTTTAAATGTCCAAGAAGATTTGGGGTGAAGGAGTCAATGAACTGGTGAAAAAGCCCAAGTCTGATAGAAAATCCGCTACCAAGACTCCAAAGGGGGAAGCTGCTAACAGGAGTGCCGGAAGACCCAAAGCCAAACCACTGTTGGAGCCATCAGCACTGCTGGCGGAGTTGCCGGAGTCTGGAAAGCATGATGATGATGACGTGAGTTTACTTTTCCGCAAGATTTCTAGTTTTCTTGTTTTCAAGAGTTGGATGAGGACGACATGAAGAAGGGACTGACTTTAATTGGAGAATTGAAAAGGAAGGAATTAGAGGGAAAGTGGAAGATCTTACGACATTCTGAAATGGAACTGTTTGTGAATCGTTCTTGCGGAGCAGATTAAGTTGGTATCGGAAGTATTGCAGTCATCCAACTAGAAACTTTTTTATTTTTTATTTTTTAAAAGCAATTGTGAGAAGCGTTTAAGGATCCTGCCCTGTCATTGAGATAAAGTCACTCATGCCCCCGCTCAAAATGCCTATCACGTCTTCTTGGCTCCAGATCCAACGCCCGAGGAAGATGTTCGAGACTCTGGAGGAGAAAGAAGCAGGACACAGCCAAATTTGAATCTGATATCAATATCGATATCATCTTGGAAAATAGTAAGAGGATAACATTCCTTATTTAATCTTACCAAATTGATTTAATATAAAGATTATATTTACCTTAATATTATTATCTTATCTTATTTCTATATATTATATAATTTTTATATATTATAATATTATATTTCTAATCTTTAGGGAATTTCTTAACATTCTCTTATAATTATAATTCATATTTAAAGAAAGAAAAAGTTAAAATTGTGCACTCACTTTTATTTTTGTGGAGTTTCTGTGCTCTCCTCCCAATTTATTAATTACTATACTTCTGCTACAAGTTCGTTTAGAATAATTTCTAAAAGACATTGTTTGCTGCATTTTTTCAATTACTACCATGCAAAATCCTCTTTACATAAGCATGATGTTTGTTTCACACATAAACATTTGTTTGATTCAGAAAGAACTATAAATTGGAGAGTGGAGGAGCCTCCTAATACAGGTATTATTCTCAGTTTTGGCATAGTGCAAAGAAATAAGACGCAATGCAGTTGCGGAAGCTCTTCATCACTGCATTAATGCTACTTCTTAAGCTTTCACTTGTTGAACCTTTTTCTGGCTAAAAAAAAAACGTGATTAAAACAGGAGAAAGAGAAGAGGGGGAATATTAGAAATTGAATACTGAGCCGAGACGCGTGTTCGTGAAACAGTGTACGAAACGAAGACAGGACCGGGGTTTTGGTTGTCAATAATAGATATGATTTTTTTAGGAGGGGAAATTATTCTTTTATTTCCTTAATAATCAAATTTAATATTACTATTATAATAATAAATTTTTAAAGGTTTTATTATTATATTATTAAAATTGTATATTGGTTATATGATAAAAAGTGATTGGCCATATATCAGCTTTCTTTTGAAAGCCACGCCAATGATATATAAAAGTATTAGTCAAATATATCTATTCAAGAATTGTTTTTTATTAATATAATAATAATAATAATAATAATAATAATAATAATGTGCTTTCATTCTCTATCAACTGTTTATATGAAATGATTGTGAAAAAAAATGATTAAGATGGTAAAAAAAAAAACCTTACCTTCTTACAATCAATTCATATCCCAAAAGACAAAAACTTTATAAATCTCAAGAGCTTAAGAATCAATAAAGAAAATATGAAATATAATCATCCAAGAATTTTATCCTGGAACCTTCCATCGCAACTTTATCTTCGAACCCTCATTCTGTTAATAATGTGTATTAGACACTTCTCTCAGATTGGAGCTTCTGGAAAACCATTCAACTGGACCGGTGGTTATTGCAGAGGATCTCTCTGAAACCAATGATCACGTGACTCAGTTTGGAAGTGAATGTGCATGCCTGGTGGAAGGGCTAGGGTAATTCTGTACTCAAGTATAGTATCGTTTGCACTCTTTCACCAACGATGTCTAACATAACTTTGTGAATATCACTCCTATATTACCTTTCTCCTATCAGTACAACATTTTAGTCTTCTAATCTGCTGAAACCAAGTTATTTTCTTTTGGTCTCACCAAGTAAATGAGAATTAATGCCTAAGGCAATATTTGTTCCGCAAACTGTTTTTCTAATAGGTTTAAACCAAGCACAAATATTATATTGAAGTACAATTTGACATGCCACGTGATGCCACAAATATCAGGTAAAGGTTCTTGCATTTTCCATCGTTTTTACAGGTACCAAAACAGAAACAGATTATTAAACCATTAAGAACATTAGTAGAGAAGCTCAGTCTGAAGGTCCTATTAGCACCTGCAACTATTGGTTTGGTAAGGAACTGTTCTCTTAATTTCCTTCTTGTTCCTTTTTCCCCTTCCGTAGTTCTATCTGATAAATAAATAAAAACAATCATAGTTAGAATTGTTACATTATACTCGTGTCAACTGGGAAAGAACATCCATCATAATCTTTAATATGTCAACATTATAACTAGTTAAATTTTTCTGCATAAAAAATCAACTTCACAAGTCACATGTGCATAACTAAAATTCATATTGATCAACAATTGTTACACCACCACAACCAGCGTAGTCACATTTGTAGTTAAGCGAGGGAGATTTTACTGAAACCATCTTATTTATGTACAATGTTTATCTTTTTTGCATAAGTAGATTCTTGGCCTAATAGTGTAGTTCCTCCATTTGGAAAGATGTTTGTTGGCAATAATGCTCCTTTACGTGTGTTTGAAGATTCTGCATCCATGCTGGGGTAAGTTGCCTTCTCTTGCCAACCGTGCCAAAATGTGGGTATCAGGTACTTCGAAGTTGCTTTATTGATTGAGCAGCTAATAATAGAATGATGATACTATGGAAGCAAAAATGTATTACTCTGTCATGATCAAATTTCATGTGAATAAGTAATCAAGAAAATGAATTATATTACTATTACTATTATTATTATTATTATTATTATTATTATTATTATTATTATTATTATTATTATTGTTGTTATGATTGTTGTTGATTAGTAAAGCATGCTTTATGACAATCATTTTACAGGGACGCATGCATTCCAGTTATGAGTTTGATAGTTTAAGCAAATTTTCTGGATGGTAATAGCCAACATGATGTTTTAGAGTTCATTTTCATCTTGGTGTCTTTGAGTCGATAATTCTGAAAATGATCAAGGTTTTACTGACAAATTACCCGGGTTAACTTCATTCAGGGTTAAGGCGGTCAGAAATGAAGCTTTCAGTTCTTGTGGGGATCATAGTGGTTAGATATATATTTCCTTACCAATTTTAGGCGTGGCCATTGTAAAAGTGATATCCATTTTGGCATTAACCACTATGATCCGTTATACCATTTTGTTTTACTGCTTCCTTACTCTCTTTCCCTGCAATGAGCATAAGTAAGTTCATCCAGATCATTGCCATAATTCACCATTTCTTTTTGTTTTTGGTAAAACGAATAGTAGTAGAAAGAAGAGACACCCTTAATATAGTACATTACTTTTAATAAATTTGATTACATGAGATGTCTACGTCATTAAATGACAATATATCACTGGGTGAGTGTAAAACATGTTATGGCTTTGGATGATTAATTATGCATAACATAGCCAAAATCTCTAACATAGTATGCAACCAACGATTTTCGCTTCTAGTTTCCATCACAGTTTGAACTCTATATTATGCATTTTAGTTACATTTACTTCTTGACTCTGCCAGGTACAATTACTCAATTATTTGGAGTCGGTGTAAAAGAATGCTATGCTAGCAACTTATATCTGTGCCTCATTTTCTCTTGCACTATGGTCCACATTTTTCATGTGGCTTGTCCTGTAAATTTATTACTTTTCTTTACCTTGTGATATCTTATTGTCAAAGAACTGCATCTTACGCGTTACAGATTATTCCAGTCAAATTAGTGTTAGTGGTGGAAGGCAATAAATTTGTGCTTCAGTTTGTAGCAAAATACTTTAGTCATGTGTAGTATAATGAATATGTTGAAAACCGTTCCTCCTTTTCATCCATGTTAATGCGAAGGATTCTTTTCCTTCCTTAAATAGCGGTGCAATTGTAAGCTTTGTTAATTCCTTTTTGTGAAGATCAGCGTATTAGATAAGTTGGAATTACATATTACTCAGGATTACATCAGTTCAGTCAAATGTTGTTTTTATCTTTTCATCAACAAACATTACTCTCTTGACTGTCTGTTTCTTATCCATTTAGGAGCTTATATGCTTTCAAACACAGATATGCTCTCTCCTCCTCTCCCTCCCCCTCCCCCTCCCCCTCCTCAACCCTGGTGCTTGCACCTCCCAAATCCCCAAAAAAAAAAAATATACAACCCGCTCTCTCCCCATAGTACCATAATTTTTAGAAAGTAGGAACCAAACACGAAAAATATATTGCCAGTTTGGATTGTCTGACCTTCAACTTTACCTCCTTCCTTTTAATAAGTCATTATTTCCTCTTTGCTAATTGGAATGTTTTCTTCAAGAAAAGATTTGCTGCTCGGTCATTTCTATGGCACAACACCCTCAATATTGTGTTGGGGTCTGATCTATTCCACTTTCCTGTAGTAGGAGGCATTGGCAACTTCTGTCCATTACCCATCAAACCTATCCCACTTGACTCACAGCTCATAATGCTGAAATCTTCAATCAATTGTTCACTACTTTGACCCATCAATGCAATCACTCCCTCCACCACTGCAGCCTCTCCATCCACTACATTCTCTGCTATCAACCCCTCCACATTGTTGCTGAAAACTCTCTTCAAATTCTCGAAGTCCTCTCGGATGATGTCATTGTCACACCGGTTGAACAACCGTGAGCTCCCACCAGAAAGCAAAACCATAAGGAATGCATCATATGAGGCCTTCATCACGTCCTTTAATGCCAATGGTTGTGCTCTATCTGTGACAATTGAAGTCATTAATGTGAGATTCTGCTTGAGAATTCTCAGTGTGGCTCTTATTTGACCTCTAGCAACACCACCAACGTAGAGGCTATCATACATCGCAGAGGTTGAGTCATGAAATATAAGACGGTATGCAGCAACCTCTGAGACATGTTGACAGGCTCCTTGAATGGATGAGTTCACTGTTTCAAAGTATGAACAACAACTCTTGCGGTTGCTTGCAAAGCGAAGGCGATTTGAAGGAACAACTCCAGGGTTCATCGTGATTGTTCTCTCAAGGGAATGAATTTGAGAAAGGAGATAATGCAAGGTGTTAAGACGAATGTAGAGGCGTTGTGTTCCACGGCTAGTTGATGGTCGAGGATTATGACCTTCATGTCTTTCATTAATGTGTTGTAGATGAGTGTCAAAACCGCCTGAGCATGGAGCAGCTCTCTTCCAAAACTTCGTGAATGTCGATTCACTGCTGCATCTGGTCAGCGGGGGAAGCATGGGAATGTAACTTTGTTTCGAACCTGAAAGAGGGTAGAGTATTGTGGAGTTTAAAACAAAACCATACAATTCAAACTTTATTACTCTATTGTGACAAGTATCAATTATGTTATAAGTTCACACTATTTACCACATGCTGCAACAAACTTCATGTAGTCCAGGAAGAGATTTTCCAATCCGTCAGCAAGATCTTGAACTAAATCTTGTGTAATTGCTATTGGAACTTTGAAGAATTCTTCCACAATTGTCGAGGCCAATTTCATTAGCTCCGCAGCTGATTGTGCATATGACTCTGATTTGGACTTCGCAGTCCATGTCTGCAATTAAAAAATTTAAAATGTTCTAAAAAATATTCTATGATAAAAAACAAAAAAAAATGTGATCATTTTTTGTGTTATTCCACTATGAAGGAATTAGGATTATGAAGCCAAAACTTACTTCAGTTTCTTTTGTCGTCTGCAAAAATTCTTTGGCTTTGAGCAATGAATCATCTATCCATTTTCCTAGAAGACTCAATATGACTGAATCAACATCATAAGGAGCCATTTCTCTGATTACTGTTTTGCCACCATCGTCGCACTCGCTAGAGTCTTCAACCATCGTTTGTACAATTACCTTTTCTAGCTTTCCAGACTTCTGCAACACCTGAACTGACTCAGCTGTTAGTGAGGTCACTTCATTTACATACTGTTTCAGCATTTTACCATAGCAGGTGTGCAGCACCATTGCAGCAACTGCACCTGCTGTTGAATGCCATTTCTGTAGAATTGGACAAAAATGATGTCTTTCCTTCAGCATCAACGCTTCAGTCTCTTGAACCAGTTGGAGCAGAAGTTCACCCAATTCTTTCCTTCTTTCAGATTCAGCATACTTGGAATTTACTGTCTCTAATACCTACACCGAAATACAGACAAAGAAATACCTTATTACAAGACATGACTAGATTGGAATACTAAAGCTGAAGATAGGTTATGTTTAAACCTTATCAAAAGCATGTGTCATGGAAGAACGAATGTAATTATCAATCCGGTCTCTGGAATCCACTATGGCTATGCCTCCTTTCTCTCCCCTTTCCCCGTCTGTTAATGTCAGATCTTCACCTAAAATCTTAGAGGCTGTCAACACCACAGGAAGAAGGTTTTCGATTTGACCAGCATTCCCTCGTTGGAAATACTCATGGTAGTTAAGCAATCTCTTCTCTGCCCAGTCCTGCATTGAGTTCATCACTGATGATAGTATCTTAACATACGAAGATTCTTTTTCTCTCTTAGCATCAATTGCGACCTCATTCAACATGGCATGTGAGGCACAAAGTAGGTCAGGTTCAATCTGCCCAGTGCTTACGTACTGTTTAAACAGCACCCAAGTGAAGCATACATTGTGAATTGGCAAGGAGATCCCCAACGTAGACCATGTTTTCTTCATCAGCTCAAGTAGCTCATCAACCTCATCTAGCACTAGTGTTTCATCCCTGATATCAAAAATGGATTGAAGAAGAGATGTATAGAGGTGAATGTTGAAAGGGAATCCATCAGCCCAGTGGCAAACATCAGCAGGAGTACCATTGTCGGTCCTCCATGACAAGGAAACCACAGAATTGCAAAGGAGTCTAATGGTGTCTGAGTTCTTGCCAGCGTCAATGGGTTTGGACTCCGCACTAGTTACGATGTCCCTGAGGCGTTTGGCAAATGTGTTGGTCTTTTCTAGGGGGATTGATGGGTGGAGGAGGAGCCCTGCTTCAAGGACTTTGAGCTGCCGAATTTGCCACATATGGTATTCATGGGAATCACTAAATTCTGATGGCTTTAGGTGACGTATCAGTTCCAAGGGGAGGATAATAGTTTCTGCTCGCCTTCCCATCTGAAATCCAACAACCAATTACAAATATCTAGACCTATAGCTGCCACAATCTATAGATCAAAAACCACATGTATTACTAAACTTAAGTTTGCATAATAGATATAAGTCATTAGTTCAAGTTAAACGGTTTAAAATACGACAATTAATCCCATAATTAACCTTTTCACTATTTCCTCTACAAAAGTTTCTTTTTATTTATTTATTCTGTTTCCATCACATGTACATCTTTCTTTTCTTCTTCTTTTTTATCTCGTTTTCCCTTTCACCCTATTTGTCACAAAATGAGAGAAATTATCGTACTGTATGGGAATATCTTGCCCGAAATTCAATGGGATTTTCACAGGATCAGATATTGATCTTTATATAAGTTTTGTTAATAAAATATGTTTCACTATATAAAAGTGAAGGTTTAGGAAAATAAATTATGTGTCCATAGTTTTGGTCTATCTCCATGTAACACTTGGTCAAGTTTCATTAACACTTTCTGATAAATTGAAAAACTCAAGTATCTATCATGTTGAGATGATGGAGGCATGGTGGTTCTAGATAATACAATACAATAACTTCAAAATAGAATTACGTTTATTAAAGGGAAATGATAAGCGGACATCTCCATGCTATTTAACAGATAGAGAAAATAATTCAGATATAACATGCGATATATGACAGTAAGATATACAGAGATGAATGTGATGTAGACGCTGGTAACAAAGGGTGTTCATGCAACATCACTCTTCATCAAAATCCGTTAGAAAATAAAGAGCACCAATTAAATGCAAGCACATATATAAGTTGGGGCAAAATAAATAAAGAATGGAAATGGAAGACGTACTTGCCCCACGAGGGTCCTCATGAGGGTTTTCCTCAACCTATGATCGTCGTGCTCCGTGACCCTCATCTGCTGCCTCATGATCTCCGCCGCTGTCATGGGCCGCCTTGGCCTGAACGGCGGCACGGTGTTTGAGAGAGGGCTACCGGGTGCACCGACAGGAGAGGTGGGCGTGGAGGAACCGCCACTGCCGACCATTCTCCGGGAAGAACTCCTCTTCAGCATCCTCAGCCCCAACATCTTCTTCACCCTGCTCGTCGGCTTCGTCACCACCTGGGTCGGCTTCCCCCCTTCTCCTCCGCCGCCGTTGTTCTCATGGTTCGAATAAAAAGTGAGGGCATGGCGCCCCCCGAACCCCGGCGAGGATCGGCACGACGTGAAGAATATCTCGTACGCCGTCTCCCTCACTTGGTCGTCATCGAGGCCGTGGAGCTTGCCGACGGGCCAGGAGAGAGCGGCGGCGTCAAGGCGGCGCTGGCCATGGAGGTGGTAGTCCAAGCGGGAAGAGGTGGTGGAGGGGTAGGACTCCCGGCGGGTGTGGTGACCCATGCCGAAGCGTGAGGGTAGATGGGTTTGCGGTGTCAGAAGAATATGTGTGGGGCGCAAGAGTTAGGGAAGAGGGAGTGCATTTTGTTGTGGTTAAAAGGGAGGGGGAGAGGAGAGAGAGGTGGTGCCGATGCATGTTGTGATGCTGTTATAGTTGATGTAACACCAGTTTCATGGGAGGATCAGAGATTATGGTTACGGGTTTGCATTTTCACCAGCGGAGAAAGCGACATGGTGTGGTGTACGTGTGCATGCATGCATTTTCTTTCCCTTTTTAGTGCTTTTTTTCGGAGGGAAAGTTTTTTATTTATTTCTTTATTTCTGTTGTCTTTTTAATTGACCGGAGAAAGAACAACTACTGTAGCATTTTCATATCTCAACTCGCATCTTCATCTGTCTGGTTTTTTTTTTTTTTTTTTTTTGTTGACTAAGCCCATCTTTATCTCAACCCATTCACATGTCAATTTGCATAAAAATAACTAACTTAACTAACTTCGATTTTTTAATGTCACCTTTTTATTAATATTACTTCATATATTATATTATAATATTCAAATAATATTTAAATCTTAAGAGCATTTTTATATAGACTGTTTAAAGAAATTACTTATAATAAATTGTTCTACACTAATATCTTCAACACGGACTTAATAGGACAATCTTAATACTATACAATCAATTTTGTTTTACAAATAAATAAAATATATATAATATTAATATGGTTAATAATGTCATGAAATTATTATAATGAATAATGATAATTATTTTTTCGCCGGTTATTAGTAATATCATAAGGTTATTGTCCATAATAATTATTGGAATTATCAAAATTCACTACGTACATTCAACAAATAGGATTGGACTCATTCTAAAAAATATGGTCTAAAATGTTAATTATAATTAATTCACTAACTCATATTTTCAAATTAAGAGAAAAAATATAATTAAATTTATAAAAAAATATAGATAGATATTATTCTTAAAAGAGCCAAATGACTTCGTAAGATGATTCTTTTTTTAATTAACATGTTCTCTTTTTTATATTAGATGTTCCCCTTTTTCAAATTCAAGATGTATTATTTCATTTGCTTGTGAACATTGACACTCTTATGTTCAATTAAATTATATATTGATAAAGTAATACATATGATATAAAATACAAAAAATTAGTATATTAAAATTTTCACCTATGTTAATTTTGTTTATTAATTTTTATATTTTAAATTTGTTATAAGATACTAGTAAGAGTTTAATTAGTGATAAAGATATAATTATTTTAATTCTTTAAAGAAGCTATCATTATGAAGTTGAAATTAGTTTTTAATATATATATATATATATATATATATATATATATATATATATATTAAAAATTTATTCTTTACTTTCGTCATTTATTTTTTATGATGTAATGATTTATTTTATTAATATATATATATATATATAAAAGAATTCTAATTCTTAAAATTTCTTCTATATGTATTAATGAGATTTTGATTCAGGACATATCCGATTTGTAAATAAAAATATCTTCAAATTTTAATCTCCCAGACAACAACTTTCTCCTTCCACTCTGCTCATACCGTCATTGCTACAGAGATTTCAATTAATAGAATATAATTAAGTTATAATAAGGTTAACTTTCATGGTAAAAATAGAAGGAAAAGTAAAAGGAAAAATATTCAAACATCTATTAATTCACACTTTAAAATAATATTTTTTTTTCGTTAAAGAGTATGAAATGGAATATATTAATAAAAATGATACAACCCTATTTAAAAAAAATCATTAAAGAATCCAATATATAATAATATAATAATATTATTATATTGGGTTATTTTGAAAAACTTGAGTTTTCAAAATATAAATCTGGTATTGAGTCCGGATAAGATAAAATCTAACCTCTTAACAACTAGTTTCTCTTCGAACAAAACAAAAACAGTGCCTTCAATAATTGCGTAGCATTATCCTTTCATAGTCAATGGACACGACAGCTATGACTTTTTCCATGAATCCGCCATCAGTCTAGCGTACAACTTTATTACCGACAAAACAAACAACTTTTGATTATGTAGTGACACATGAGATGTTCAAGGTTCCTACTTTTCTAGTACACCATCTTCAAACGAATGGTTGCAATAAAAACTAAGTTGGGAAATGTAAATTGTCGTGATTTAATTTCTATCGGATATTTCAATGAACTAGAATACAAATATAGTCCATAAACCTTTAAACCATTGGAAAGAAGGAAGCAAAATGGAGGAGACTCTTACTCTCAGTATCAGTCATGTCAACAAGTCTTTGATTTTCACCAATAGGCTACACATGCTCCTCCATTTTACTGCTCTTTGTTTCATGGTTTATTATAGGCTTTGTTTTTTCTTTCAGGATCCACAAACCCGAGGAACCCCTTTATTCCCTTGGCTTCTTGTTTTTGCCTCTGAAATCATTCTCTCCTTCATTTGGATTCTTGATCAAGCTTTTCGTTGGCACCCCATTTCCAGAACTGTGTTTCCTGAAAGATTACCACAAGATGACAAGCTCCCTCCCTTAGATGTGTTCATATGCACTGCAGACCCCACTAAGGAACCCACTTTGGACGTGATGAACACTTTGTTATCGGCCATGGCACTGGATTACCCACCAGAGAAGCTGCACGTGTATGTTTCTGATGATGGGGGTTCACCTGTCACCTTAAATACCATGAAGGAGGCTTTGAAATTTGCAAGGTGGTGGCTTCCTTTCTGCACGAGATACAGAATAGGATGTAGGTGCCCCAAGGCTTACTTTTCTGCTTCAGAGAATGATGGTGGTGATTTTGATGGGAGCTATGAGTTTCTTGCAGATAAGAAAATGATCAAGGTGGGTTCTGCGTGAAGTTAATTTTCTCTGAAATTTTTGGATTTTGGGAGTAATATTTGACAGTCAAATTTCTGCAGGAAAAATATGAAGCTTTTGAAATAGACATAAAAAGAGTAAGAGAAGACCTGGACAACCAAGGAGATACTACTGGTAAAATAGGTCAAAATCATCCACCTATTATAGAGGTATAGTTACAATGTTATCCACGGTATTATTCTTTGGCGGAAAAACTGAAAAGGGACTGATTTGAAGTTTAATTATGAAAGGTTAGCTAGGATCAGTTATGGTTCATTTATCTAAGGTTCTAAGTTGTATGTAGGCTTAGTTAGCGCTTGAATCACAAGCGTATCAAAATTCAATTATCTCTATTTTAAGTATATTATCGATATATGGCTAATTTTCTATGATTAGCTGGTGATGTTTCAGTGAATTGCAGTGATATGGCAACAAAAATCATGTTATATGACACCTGGTTAACTATTTAATTGTCATAAGAAAATCCAATTACCCAACCTATGAAACAAGCACTGATGATGGCAGGTGATACAAGAGAGTAGCAGCAGCGAAATAGAGCAAGTGAACTTGCCTTTACTTGTCTATGTTTCCCGTGAGAAAAAGCCTTCTCATCCCCACCATTTCAAAGCCGGGGCCCTCAATGCTCTTGTAAGACTCTCTCTCCTCTCTCCAGGGACAAAATTATGTGACTCAACCTTTTGGAACGAAGTGAATAGTACCTTATAAAAGCTGACAAACAAATGTAACACAACTATCTGAAGATTCTATTAAGTTATACAGTGACCATTCACAAGCTGCTTTACATATTTGCAATGAGCTATTTGGATGCTTATAAATATATCTATTTTTTGCAGTACCGAGTCTCTGCTGTTATAAGCAATGCTCCATACATTCTAGTGCTGGATTGTGACATGTTCTGCAATAGCCCAGCTTCAGCTCGCCAAGCAATGTGTTTCCACCTTAATCCCAAGATATCTCCTTCACTTGCTTTTGTTCAATTTCCTCAGAAATATCATAATATAAGCAAGAACGACATTTATGACAGTCAGCACAGATCAGCATATAAAGTATCAGATATTAGACTAAATTTCAAGTTTTTATATCATTGTGTAGTATACTAGAATCTATATCTTCCAAAACAGCATTGTATTTAAACAAGTTTTTGCCTAGGTTCTATGGCAAGGTATGGATGGGCTCATGGGACCAGTATTGTCTGGCACAGGCTTCTATATAAAAAGGGAATCACTATATGGAAATTTCAAAAGTAAAGGTGTGAAGCATGATGATTTGTTTCTTGAAATTTGGTAATTTGGGACGAGCATATACATACAAGGTACATACTGCATACTCATACAATTTTATGCTTTGAATGTTAGATACTGACCTTGAACTCCAACAATACGTTGGCACATCCAATGAGTTCATCAAATCCTTAAACCAAAGCAGCACTACAGATTCAGTCACTATTGGACATTCATTGCCTGAAGAAGAGACTTTGCTTTTGGCTTCTTGTAATTACGAAATTGGGACTAAATGGGGTAAAGAGGTATGCAGATATTTTATGATCCAAACATATAGCTCAATTAATCTTTCTAGCATAAACAATGCACTTCTTTTTTGGAGAATGGTACCAGGTTGGCTTCCTGTATGGTACTGTATGTGAAGATGTTCACACCGGTTTCATATTGAACTGCAACGGTTGGAATTCAGTGTTGTGCGATCCACCACAGCCACAGTTTCTAGGAAATAGTACCACTAATTTGAATGATTTTCTAGTTCAAGGCATCAGATGGTACTGTGGACTTCTTGATATGGGTTTAAGCAGGTTTTGTCCTCTTATTCGTGGGCCTTTAAGGATGTCTCTACTTCAGAGTCTTTGCTATGCACAACTAACATATTTCCCTCTCTATTGCTTGCCCCTTTGGTGTTTAGCAATTGTCCCTCAACTTTGTCTACTAAATGGAATCCCCTTGTACCCCAAGGTAACAATTAAAAGTGCTCCTATGCCTTCATTTGTCCTTGAATTCGTTTCATTAGCTTTCAAAAATTGTAACACAGCTCTCTTGTTTTTAATTTTGTGTCAGGTCTCAGACCCATTTTTCTTAATTTTTCTGTTTGTCCCTCTA